AAAAAATCTGTCACAAATATTGACTGGTTGTGGTAAAACTTTGAAAGGCAAGAATAGTTTTCTGGCATATTATAGTGTTCTAGACATTATTAAACAGAATTATGTTACTTGATACCACCTAAAAAGCTAAATTAAAGGTCTAATAATTTTTTCAAAATATGCTTGACCAAACGGTTGATTTGTCACTTGATGCTAAATGTAGCAAATCAAGGTAATTTAGTTAACTTTTTTTTTTTGGTATAAAATCAAAAGTCATTTTCATCTATTGGTGTAAATAGGAAACAATAAGTGTTATTACAATGTTATACACTAAGAATAATTATAACATCATCCATCCATCCATTTTTGGTTACCCTTTACCTAACGCGGTCGGGAGTTGCTGGTGCTTCTCCAGCTGCGTTCCGAGCGAGAGGCGGGGTCATCTGGACAGGTCACCAGTCTGTCGCAGGGCAACACAAACACAAACAGGACAAACAACCACACACACACACACACACACACACACACACACACACACACACACACACACACACACACACACACACACATCTAGGGAGAATCTGGAAAGCCCAATCAACCTGACAGTCATGTTTTTGGATTGTGGAAGGAAGCCGGAGAACCCGGAGAGAATCCATGCACGCACAGGGAGAACATGCAAACTTTGTGCAGAAAGACCCCGGGCCGGGAATCGAACCCAGGACCTTTTGCTGTATAACATCATCTTACAAAATAATTTTTGTAATAATTTCTTCCTTTGGGAGCAAAAGTGGTGCCAACACTCTGCAAACGATAAAAGAGCCCCAGATGTCTGTTGTCTTTTGTGACAACTTCTTTACAAGTTTCAACTTGGTTCAGTACCTGCACACTGCCCTTGGTGTCAAGTGTATCGGCACCGTATGACCGAACTGCACTGGTGGAGCTCCATTGATGACAAAGTCCTGATGCAAAGGGGTCGTGGGACCTGTGACTTTAGGGCTGCTGAAGGGGTTCCTCCAGTGAAGTGGTTGGATAACAAATGGGTCATCTTGCTTAGTAAAGCCTATGGGATCATGCCCTTTTCAACAGTGAAACACTGAAAAACTGTTGCACTTTAGTACAGAAAAAATCAAGATGGGAAAACTAAAAATGCAATATTTCCTTGTTCGATGCAATGTTTTCCTTGGTTGAAATTAAAACTAGTGTTGTGTAGCATTTTGACAAACATAAACTGTATCCAATGCCCCAGACATTTTGTTGTTGTTAATTTCTTTATAAATTTGCATTATTTTAATTATCTACTGTACTAGGTTTTTTATTACATCATGTACTTAAACCTTTAAGTGACATCTCAACCATTTGGTAGAGATCAATATTTTAAAAACCACAGGGTCTGTTGAAAAAAAAAATATTGATTGTGTTTATGAGTCACCCAAGGGTAAAAGAAATACAAAGAAAAAATTTCACAGGTTTTTTTCTTGGTGTGGTTGTTAATACTGTCATTGAAAGTAGAATTTCATGTTGAATTTGGATCAAATACATTTGTTAGATTAATTCTACTTAAGTAGATAATTTGTTAAAAACTTATAAAAGTTTCTCAACAGTTTTAGATGCAATTGTGAAAACAATAACATCTAAATCTGTAAAGTACATACAACTCTTAATTTAATACTAGTCTGGCTTCTTTTTTAAATACTTCTTATTGGTATAGAGACAAAACATGTAGATGCTGCCAGTTATCAGTTTGATGTTAGTGGGCTGCTGTGTGATTTTATTTTATGTTCTGAGGTTAATGTTTCTGTTTTCAAGGTTCTGGATAAAGGAGAACTTCACCATTCTGCAACCAAAAGTTCTGGTGGTTCCAAGACTAAATCCCTCAGAGAGCTGGAAGAAAGAAATGAATGAGTTTCAGAACAAATTCATCTGTGAGCGTGACGCTCGCAAGCCTTAATGTAACTGACTGTTTCTCTTAATGTTTCATGCAGGAATATCAATTGTGTCATGTGTATATACAATGCATTTCATCATGACTTTCATCAAATGCTGGTCATGTGATGTCGTCATTCTTATTGTTTATTCTTATTGTTTTTGAACTCTCACTTGATGAACCTTACAGCTGCTTTCCACTTCTCATTGGACACACTGAAACTAGGAGGGCTTTGTCAAGAAAATCCGAGATCATCCTCTTCCCCATGCTGGAGATTTTAGTTAACAGTAACAATAAATAAAGTTACCTTTAAATAAGTCACACAAATTACATCTAGACCCAACAGTAGGCCCAGACTGCAATATAAAAAATCTGGTTGTGTATGTTGTTTTTATCTCCTGCAAACTCAGCTTTCATTATACTTATTTTTTCTATCTAATCATAAGAAATTATAGTCAGAGAGAGAGATGAGACAGGAAGAGCAGGTTTCCTGGAAAAAGAGGAAGTAAGTTCCAGCTTGCAGCTGTAAAAAAATAGCTGAGACCAGTCCTTGTTTAAAAGCATAAACGTTTTAAAGGATAAAATCTAAACATTTTGAGTAATTAGATAAGATTTAAAGTAAAGTACTTATATTAATATTGGTTTACTTATAACAAATTTACACTTGTGGGAAAACTTACAAGTAAAAAACAAGTAACTGTAACTTTGGTATCAAATAAGAAAAGAGTAATAAGTTGTGATTATCATAAAATTATAAATTAATGCTAAATTAAAGAAACTAAAAGGTTTATGAATGTGATTTTAACATTGAACTTGAAATGGTGTAAAACATGTAAACTGCTATTAAAGATCACTGATGATGTGTTGGAGGTGGACAGTAGGTGAAAGGTCAGGGGTCAAATGGGCACTAATGGGAAAGCAGAGATGACCAAGACCTTATTAGGAGATAGCTTGTTGAACAACTTAAACATGTCAGAGACATGGGAGGAAGATTGAGCAACCCTGAGACATTAGCCAAGACCTCAGGACAAAATGTCTCTAAGACAGTGATGGATATGAGTTTATCTGTCCAAACAGTTACCCAATAAAGCACAGCAACAGTGTTAGCCAATGAAAATGCACTGAAAGCGGGTATAAACCCTATATAAGGGGAGAGCAAAAGAGGAATCTTTGGTTGGATCCTCCAGGCAGCTTCGAGTCAAGACCGAGATGGACAAAGAACTCTGCAGCTGAAGAAGAGCCGGGGCCACAGAGCCGAAGACTGTCCTGTGCACGGGGACCAACCCATCAGTCCCGCAACATGTGGCTTCAAATCGGACTTCTCTCATCAGCTGGGTTCAGACCCCAAGGACAAAGATGAAGACCAAGATGAAGATCAAGACAAAGACCCAAGTCCTGTGTGACCTCATCATCGATGCAGAGATGAAAGCTCATCAGACCAACAGAGATCCCTGCCTTCATCAATCAACCTCCTCTTCCTCCTGCTACAACACCTTCATCATCGATCCAGTTCTGGGGTTCGAGACACCAAACTCCGTCCGTCTCTCTAAAAGGTTCCCTTTTTAGTTCTTAGTATCAGCGTTAGGGAAAGATAGGTTAGATGATTTATTTTACTTATTTGATTATTTCTGCTACTGAATTAAGCACTACTGACCCTTGCAAAATTGCTTTACTAATAGAATATTTAGCATAAAGGAAATCTAAAAGATGTTGTGGACATTCAATTAATGAGTCGCCTCAAAGTTCTTTGATGGTAGTAAAATAGCTGTGTTTGATTCTGGGGAGGTAAAGTAGGTAATGTTTTATAGGTTGCTTTAGCCCAAATTTAAAACAACATCCTTGGGACTCGCCCGAGTCACTAAAACCAACCTGATTCAGTAACAAGTGCAAGTCGTATAAAAGAGAAGGAGACCGTTAACAGATGTGCTCTGTGGAACTAGTTGGCTGTATGCTGCTCAGTCTGGCTAATTCACAGGGGGAAGAAGGGTGGCACATCTGGAAGTAGGCCGTTAGTAGTCAGGCGAATCCTTTCTGGAAACCAGCTTAAACAGAGTTTACTTCAGTTCTGATAGGGTAAATCCCAGCAGATTTAGGAAACTCAATTTACCCGTTAGATGGAGAGCTGGTAGCACACATCTCCCCTCTCAGAAGAGGAAGTAGTGACTGAGAGAATAGAGAGTGAAGGGGTGGGGGGCCTGTGTGGATCATAGGATGCGTCTTACAGCTTGAAGAAAACTTAAATATAAACAAATGTATCTTCTAACGACTCGTATGGAACTTAAATATTCACAAATTTAGCTGATAATTTGGCAACCTTTGCACCACTTTAGGTGGTGCAAGTATACTTAAACATTTGCCTTTAGGTATGATAATAAATGTGACTTTATTACTCGAAAATAAGTATGCAAGTAAAATGTACTGCCACCTGCAGGTGGGAAGTGGCATCACTTCAAACCAGTGACTTGACTATTTTTATATGTATAAAACTAAAATATAAACAAATGTATCTTCTAACGACTCGTATGAAACTTAAATATTCACAAATTTAGTGAATTTGTAATTAGTAATTAACTACTAGGTGGTGCAAAGGTTGGAATGTATATAAACTGTTAGAAATATTAAAAAAGCCTGTGAAAATCTATGAAATAATTAAATAAAATATAAACAAACGGAGACCATAGAGCATGCGCTCTGTGAGCTCTCATGATCTATTTTATTTATTCGCGGATTAAATAAATATAATTCTAAATTAAATAGAGTAATATCCACTGCAGTGTGTGAAGACTTCCTAAAACAAAAACTACTGCTCTCACTGAGACTCGAGTCCTCTGTTCATAGTGTAAAACCTTTTAAAGAATCTAATTGTTAGTAAACGATCTCATTGCTTTTCTTCGCGTTTTGTAATTTACGCGACTGTTTCTGTTCCGCTGGAGAAATCTCGCTGTCTGCGGTTGTAACCTAACAACGGCTTGAAAAGAGCACCTACGATGTGCACATCCGCCTGGATGCGCAGCGGTCCGCTGTTTGATAGAACACTGGCTGGAGGCGGAGGGATCCGCTCGTCAGTGCAGCGGTCCTGACGGCGAATCCGTCCGGAGGCCTCGGCTGTCGGGGGTCGGTGAAGAAGCTGATTTCTGCTTTCACAGGTATGTCCAGTTGGCAACTTATAGGTACCACTGTTAAAAGTGTTTGTAAGTCCAGGATAGTTTGTTTCATTTTAACTTACGTTGACACAATTGTGAGTTTTCATGCAAACGGCAGTCAACAGTTACGACCCAATTCCTCTACAAATGTGCTAACGTTTAGCATTTCGAGTAACAGTAGTTCGCATTCAGACTGGCGACAGTTAACAGTGTCATGTAGGCTTGCCAACTGACCCGTATTAGCCGTCACATCCCGTATTTTAAACCAAATTGAAGTCCTCTGTACCGGACGCTGTTTGTCGTGTTTGACTGCAATTTGTGTTGACAAGCACTAGATGGCGCTCCGCTCCTTACAAACCGAGACATCGATAAATATATGAAGTCAAAAGCGCGGGCAGCTGCTTCATCTGCCAAAGGCTTTCCTATCAAAGTCATAGCTAATTCAGACACATTTACTTTGACGATGAATTTGTAGAAATCTGCAAACTAAATTAGTTTCTATAACTGCAAAATGAAATGGGTTAAACATGTTCGTGGCTAAACGAGAGTCTGAACTTCTCTGAAGGTTTAGAATATCACTGCCTTTGATTAATACCAGTTATTGTTAATCAAATGCAACTCTCAACAGGTGGTTGTTAAGCCTTGATGTAAATGAACTCAATGTTTCAACTGTTGTACAGTTTTCAGGAAGTTTGTTCCAGATTGGTGGCGCATAGAAGCTGGATGCTGCCCCTCCATTTTTGGTCCAGGGGATGCAGAGCAGACCAGAACCAGAAGATCTTTAATGTATTTTGATGCTAAATCATTCAGTACTTTAAAAACTAACAAAATTATTTTAAAGTCTATTCTCTTAGCTACAGGGAGCCTTTGTCAGGGCTTTGTAGCTGGGGTGATGTGCTCTATCTTCCTGGTTTTAGTCAGAACATCAGCAGCAGCGTTCTAGATCAGCTTCATCTGGAGGATTGATTTTATTTATTTCTAAACAGACCCTTTCAGTAATCAGTGTGAAATGCATGGGGGAATTTCTCTAAATCTTTCTGCAACATTAGTCCTTTAACCCTGGAAATGTTCTTTGCATAGGTTGAAATCCCGAGGGCCTTGGTGAGTCCGGACCCCCTCAATCTAGGAAAAGTCTAGAACCCCCGCGGAAAAAAATCATACAAGAAACCTTGTATTTAAACAATATTAATATGAAAACGTAAAAAACAAAGAACGAAACAAATCTGACATTCACCAAAGAAAAAAATATTTTTTTATGTCCCCCCTCCTGCAACTCTTAGAGTAATGGTTTAGTCCAAAGTGTAGGAGGAGCAACAAAAGCCCTGTGGCACAGGGTCAGTCAGTCATTGAAGTCAAGAGGTAGTTGTGGCTCTGCAGCACAAAACAAAAATCCCTCCAGTCAGTAAATACTGAAAGCAAAAGACATGCAAGACCTTTAGCTTGTTTTCACTGCTGAAGAGAAAGAAATGCATTAATAACAAAAATCAGACTGCAGTTTGTTATTTCATTACTTTGGCTGAATCATGTTAAACTGCCTTGTGATGCCTTGGAAAGCAAAACTGGCTACATTGCTTTGATAAGCATATGCAGATATCAACTATATTTAGCTCTCCAACTCTTCCATTAATGAGAAGAGTTTGAAACGGGGGAGAAGCGCTGCAAGTAGCCGACAGCTCAGTGTGTGGGAGCAGAAAGCAGAGAGAGAAACAGAAATGTATGCCTTTAGTTCTTACCATCTTCAACACAGAGCCTCTAAAACCACACAGGTACACAAAAAAATCTGAATATTTTTCTATAAAAACCTTGGTGCTTTGAGCATTAAGTTTAAGTTATGATACTTCCCAGATATTCATTATTTTACAGACTTTTAGATTAAGTAAATAACATAAATTGTATTGCGAGCCACTACAATAAATCAATATTTATGAGGAATTTTATCAAATGGAGTTACTCATTAAAACTTTTTATCGTGAACCTTAAATTTTTGTAAAGGTGCAGCAGAAATTAGATCTGCGACACTGAATCAAACCCAGACTGTAACTTTGCCGACCCTCATCTCCAAATTGTTCTTTAAAACATTCTCTGTTTATTGAAAATAATGAAATGGGATTTCCTCCCTTGGTTCTTCAGGTGATAGAAGGCTGACTTTGTAATTATCTTTATGTTCTGATGCTGCATCAAATCCTGATGTCTCTTAAAAAGTGGAAGAGGAACCCACCTGCTTTCCTGTGAGCTACAGCTGAGATCGTTCAAGGAGACATTGGACATTTTCTAACGTCTCCATCATTTTCTCTGTAAAGGATGGAGGACAAAGTGGACGAAGAAATTTATTCTACAGTCACCGACATCCAAGACGAACCTTCTCCTCAAAGTAAGTAACTCTAGATATGTTTTATGAGGACTGAAAAGTAGCAGTGCTACCCACGTTGTGTTCGTTTTTCTTTTTACATCACAGATGAGCTTTAATGTCTTTGAATCATCCCAGAGCTCTCTCAGCAAATCAAGTTTAAGACAATTTAAAGACCTTCATATGATGAAAACATAAAACATGGAGAAGCTATTCTGCTGTGGCATAATAAAAGAACGTAAATACGATTTGGAGAATGGACTTATATTAAACTTATATACCTTATCAAGTTCATTGTTTCTTTCAGGTAAAGAAGAAGAAGATGATGAACCAGAAGAGCAACAAGCACTCACCAAGTCTCGTCTGTATTTGGTGGGTTTGGGGATTTTTATTGGCCTGATTGCTGGAACACTCATTTACAGTAAGTTTAATTTCAACACGATATATATTTTTCTCTATGAAGAGGAGGTGGCGGGACATTGAGTCCGAGTGGACAATGTTCTGTGCCTCCATTGTCCAGGTGGTTCACCAGAGCTGTGGCTGCAAGGTTGTCGGTGCCTGTCGCGGCGGCAACCCTCAAACTCATTGGTGGACACTTTCGGTGAGGGAAGCTGTCAGGCTGAAGAAGGAGTCCTATCGGGCCTTTTTGGCCTCTGAGACTCAGAAAGCTGTTGATGGGTATCGGCGGGCGAAGTGGCATGCAGCTCGGGTGGTTGCTGAGGCAAAAATTTGAGTGTGGGAAGAGTTTTGAGAGGCCATGGAAAAAGACTTCCGCACAGCTTCAATGCGATTCTGGTCCACCATCCAGCGTCTCAGGAAGGGAAGCAGTGCAGTACTAACACTGTTTGTAGTGGGGATGGTGTGCTGCTGACCTTGACTCAGGACGTTGTGGACCGGTGGGCAGAGTACTTTGAAGACCTCCTCAATCCCACCAACATGCCTTCCATTGAGGAAGCTGAGTCTGGGGACTCTGGGTCGGGCTCTCCAATCTCTGGGGATGAGGTTGCCGAGGTGGTTAAAAGGTCCTTGGTGGCCGAGCCCTGGAGGTGGATAAGATTCGCCCAGAGTTTCTTAAGGCTCTGGATGTTGTAGGGTTGTGTTGGTTGACACGACTCTGCAATATCTCATGGACATCAGGGGCAGTTCCCCTGGATTGGCAGACTGGGTTGGAGGTCCCCCTATTTTAAAAGGGGGAGCGGAGGGTGTGCTTCAATTATAGGGGGCCACACTCTTAAGCCTCTCTGGCAAGGGCTATTTGGGGGTCCTGGAGAGGAGGTTCTGTCGGACAGTCGAACCTCGAATTCAGGAAGAGCAGTGTGGTTTTCATCCTGGCCAAGGAACACATTATCTGACGATCCAGGACCGCAACAAAAGGTTGGGGACCACTGGTTAAAAGCATTAAGATACAAGTGTCTAACAGTAGGAGGTATATTTGGTTTTGGGGCCCTCTACTTCTGCTAATAATGTGGACTGCTGCTATCAACAGTGAGATGATTAGTTCATCCACACACCTGATATTAACTTACTGCATCTCTGACATTGCTGTTTACATTACATCCTATATGCATGTGTCATGTAGGAGACATTAATCAGTCTATTAGCAGCTCCAGAAATTTTCTGGATAAAAATCACATTACTAAGACACATTAAAACAAGCTTTTATCTTGGGTTTTTCTTTTTCCTCTTTCTTTTCTCTGTCCCTGATGGATTTTGACCTTTTTGTGACATTGTTCAGCCAACTTATCTTCCACTGGTGCTTTGGCGGTTTGAATGAGCAATGCTCCTTGTAGCTCATATTACCAGTGAAGCATAACCTACCTGAGCAAGAGCAACTGGAAACAATGATCAAATATGTGTTATTGTAAAAAACAATCACAACTTTACAATGAAATTGTGTGTTTCTGTTAATATAGTCCCATAGAAATTACTTGAAAAATAAATCAGTTCCACTTGAGTGCACCCTAGTGGCCGTAAGCAGTCACTTCATTTGCCTTGGGCCGTTCTGGTAGGAGGAGTTATGAAGGTTGATGAAAAGTCAGGGACACTGAAGTGTCACCAAGAATCAATTTGACTTAATGCTGCTCAGCTTGAAACCTGTCAAAGTGTTCAAGTTTAATATGGCAGATGTAAAGTTGTGAAGAGGACGAAGTCTGGTTTGTGAACCTCAGGATCTCATCTTCTCATAGAGGAGGGCTTAAATCTTAAATAGGTTTACTGTTCTTTGGTTCTAAACTGAGAATACTGTTGGATATCTTGAAAAGATCTGAGAGAGAAACTGACTGACTAATTTGTGTTTTTCTTTAGTGAGTGTAAGGATGGTCACGGTGCTGGAAAATATCAATCACCTTACAACAAAAAGAATGCAGCTTATTTCGGAAACTAAGACGATGGAGGAAGAGATCGTCGAACTCAACCAAGAGATTGACAAAAGTGATTTGATTTTTAGATTACCTTTGGAACTCTTTATTTTCTGTTATCATCAATTCTTAACAATTTTCAAGAATTACAGTGGTTTGCAAAAGTATTCACAGCTCATAATGTGCTCAAGATTCAAATTAAATTTCAATGAATTCAATTTATTTATGTTCATTTATTCCATATATGGAATAGTTTAAGGCGTATGAATACTTCTGAAAACCACTTTACCTGATCATTATTATGTATTATATGGTGCAGAAGAACACTTGTTTAACAAGAAACTGGTTCAGTAAGATTGATTTATTAGCAACAGCGTTACAGCAAACTTTAGATTCTGGATAATTAATTTTTTTGAGCAAGCATAGAGCCAATTCTAACTAGAATAGTAGCTTCATTTAATCAGCTTTCAATATTGATCTGCATTCTACCTTTGTAATCTTTGCTTGAGAAATTTTGATGATTGAAACATTAAAAATGTACACTTTATTTCCATTTGATATTATTTTCCCCTTCTTTCTTCTCTTTCTTCTTGTCTAATGGATCCAGAGTGTGAACCATGCCCGAATAAATGGATTCTCTTCAAGAACAAATGCTACCTCTTTTACGACAGTCCACCACCTTGGAAGACCTGGGAAGAAAGTCAAAGGTTCTGTCAGAACAAACGAACACGTTTGCTTACAATTGGTAGTCTGGAGGAGCAGGTAAAATTTTAACGCCAACTGTAGTAGCTTAACGCTAATCTGGAAGTTTCTCAAAAGCTGAGGGTTTAAAATAAGAAAATTTATGACGATGTACAAAAAATCTATTCACAGGAATTTGTCAGCAAACACATAAAGTATTACCATGATGAATACCATGGGTACTGGATAGGATTACAACATGTTAGCAACTCCTGGACCTGGATTACTGGAAATGTAGACACTCTTGGGTAAGAACTATTCTCTAAAAATATACATGTTGAAATAGAAATATAAATATATTTGACACACTTGTAGAAGAGTTAAATAAACTGACTTCTCCAGGACTTCTTCTAAACCAAACCTTGGTGGACTATGAGATATGTTTGGGTTCATTGTTCTGTTTGGACGTCCAATGATGTCAAAGCTTACTGGGTTTCCTCAAGCTTCATCCGTCCTCAGACAGCAGGACAGTTTCTCCCAGGATATCCTGATTGACTCCATCTTGACCTCCACACTCTGCAAGTTTCCAGAGGAAGGGAAGCGGCCCCAGAGCATCATTGGGTCCCCGCCGTGCTTCACAGTGGGCAGGGTGTTCTTTTCAGCATGAGCTTCAGACGTCTGATCAGACTCAAGAAGTTCAGAAAAACAAAACCGTTCTTCATCCTCCTAATATAGCTAAGAGCAAACTGCATCTGGGTTTTCTTGTGCCTTTGGGTCAGTGGTGCTGAAGGTGATTGAGTTCAGGCATGGAGACCTTCAGTCCTCAGTCTGTCCTCTCTGTGGGACCTGAACCCTCTGGCTGATGCCACCAAGCCTTGCTGCTGGTCTTTTGCAGTCAGTCGATGGTTTTTGACCAGCTGCCTCCTTGGGAATGTGGGTGAGGGCCGTCATTGTTACATCAGGAAGATCAAGATAAAACAGCTGGTTTACAAAGGCAGGCCCATCTGAAGACATCTGTTCAGAGGGACGAATCATTTTAATACTGTCATTGAAAGTAGGATTTCATGTTGAATTTGGATCAAATACATTTGTTAGATTAATTCTACTTAAGTAGATAATTTGTTAAAAACTTATAAAAGTTTCTCAACAGTTTTAGATGCAATTGTGAAAACAAAGACATCTAAATCTGTAAAGTACATACAACTCTTAATTTAATACTAGTCTGGCTTCTTTTTTAAATACTTCTTATTGGTATAGAGACAAAACATGTAGATGCTGCCAGTTATCAGTTTGATGTTAGTGAGCTGCTGTGTGATTTTATTTTATGTTCTGAGGTTCATGTTTCTGTTTTAAAGGTTCTGGATGAAGGAGAACTTCACCATTCTGCAATCAAAAGCTCTGGTGGTTCCAGGAAAAATCCCTCACAGAGCTGGAAGAAAGAAATGAATGAGTTTCAGAACAAATTCATTTGTGAGCGTGACCCTCGCAAGCCTTAATGTAACTGACTGTTCTCTTAAAGATTTGTGCAGGAATATCAGCTGTGTCATTAATTTCTGTATACAAGGTATTACATCATTATTCTAGTAATCTGATGGTCATTTTATATTATCTTATTCTAAGTGGAGAGAGAAAACATGACTAATGAAAATCCTTTCAACACAGATGAATCATTTATGCAAAATCTCAAACATTAAAATGAAAATCGAGGCTTAATATGAAACAGAAATGCAGAATAACAACTGCCAGCATCAGAGTGAAAAAGTCTTTCCAAAGAGCAGAGAAGTGGCATAGCTAAATGTTAAATACATTTAAATTTATCTAAAATGAAACATAAACCTGAATTCATGAGTTGCTAAACAATTTGGACATTTAAACCACCTAAATGACCAAAAACACATGAAATTAGATGCAAAATACATTTAAGTTAAAACTGGAAAAGTAAAATAAGTTTAATGAAGCTTCAAAAACAAACTAATAACTAATTCAATTCAGACAAAATGTCACCTCAAGGCACTTTACAAAAAAATAATTTCAGTTCAGTCATAAGAAACATTGCAGTTGATTCAAGTTCTCAATGCAGGAAGTGATTTAAAAGGTTCCTAAGGAAACCCAGTGGACTGCATTGAGTCAACGACCAGCAACCTCTCACTCTGAGCATGTACATGGCGACAGTGGAGAGGAAAAGCTCCCTTTAACAGGAAGAAACGTCCAGCAGAACCAGAACCAGGCTCAGTACAGTCTGGAAGTCTGAGGTGACAGAGCAGGATGCAAAAGAAACGGAAGAACTAATTATTTTTGATGTTCATAGAAATAAAAAAGCTAGGCTTTATTTTTTTAAAAAGAGCAAAACAGTTTTCATACTGAAGGTATATAAACGGATACATTGAGACATAAATTAGTAGATTAGGTTGATGGAAGATGAAGTTTATGGAATATTTTATTCACAGCACAGATTAAACAGACTAAGCTGCATTTCATATGCAGCTTACACTAACAGGATTAATTAAATTGTAAGTTTTGTTTTGGTGTCTCAAAGATTCAAGTCAGGAACTCCACATTACATGTGACCTGTGGGACTTTCTCATTAGTGGCTGTCACTCCAGAATGAATGAATGATGAGTTGTGCCTTTACACTGAGGTTTAAACTAATTTAACGGTGTGTGTAACTGTGTTTTCTGCTAAGCTCATGCTGCTAATAACTGTTTTTGTATGATCATGGTTCATCAAGTTGATAGAGAAACTTGGAGGCTGAATGTGTAAAGATGAAGAAAAGTAAGTTTTTTTTCTGTTTGAACAGGATGTAAATCTGCAACCTAAGAATATAAGTATAATAACTTTAAGAGTTCAGATTACAAAAAGGCATGGTAGGTTTTGTATTTGGGAGAAATCAGAAATTATTTCATAAAGTGTCAACAAATAGTTTTCCTTTGATTTTTATTTTCTTTTTGTTTTAGACTACATTCAGCTCAATTAAAGAATGTTTTGGACCTTAAAGCTTCTTCTTTTCATCCTGACATTGATATGAGCGTCCTCTTATCAATGTGCAAAACCTTTCTTCTGCATACCTGCCGATGCCATTGAGATGATATTCACACAGTTGTGTTAAGTCTTCGTTTCTTTTTCTGCCATGTCCTCCAGGCATTCAGGGCTCTTATAAATGGTTGAACTGTAACACAGACCATAGATACAAACCTGTAGCATTCATTTACTGAGTATGATAATGCAATTAAATCTTATTTAATGCATTCAAAGAAAAATTAAATGTAAAGTACATTTGGGATTTAATTAGGAAGTTTATTTTGCAAAAGTTTAAAGAATCATCTTGATAGTTTGATTGTTGTGTTACCATGGCTATCATGGCATAGTCTTTGTGTTTGAGCTGGGTTTGTTCACAAATACATCGCAGCAAATAATAACCAATAACCAGTGACTTATTTTAAATTCAGCCAATTAACCTGGACTCCCTATCACAAACTTCACCAAATGTATGTGTAAACATGTTAGTGATGCTGAGGATTTTAGTAAGAGGGACAGGGGCCTAAATCATGATTCTGCCCAGGGCCCCATATTACCTTGGGCCGCCCCTGCATGAGCTGGAATCTACCTGGAATCCCCGGGTGCCCCTATGCCACTCCACTGATGTTTTTGGGACCTTTAGATTTGTTAATCATGGCATGTTTGGTTTTATGCTGCTGTTTTAATAATTGCTACAGTATTTTTGTGATATTTTGTGGGCTCCAAATGCAATGGGCCTAATATTCCTTTAACAGTTGAGGTTCTGCAGTAACTTCTATTACTGCAGAACCGCTCACCTCCAGCCAGATCCCGTCGGTAGTGTCTTTAAACCGCCTTTAGAAACGTAAAGGTGAAGTAGAGCAAACTGTGAGCAGGTTGTAATGGGGCTTTGAAAATATCCGATTTTAACTCCAGAACTCATAACGTAGAACGTCTACATTTTTAGTTGGAATTTGTTTTTATTGGCTCTTTTCTGAACTTAATGGTTGCAGTTTCAGTCTGAGGCTCGTGGACCGCCTCGCTCGCCCTCTTGCTGCTGCAGCGTAATCCTCCCCAGCTGGGTCACTGTGTTGGTTCCTTGGGTTGTCCTCACCGTCCATGTTGTCCACAGGTACAACCAGCATTAGACACATCAGTGTGGTGTCTTCTTATCTCACTGCTCTGAAGAATCTCCACAGGAGACCGAACCGACAGGGGTCACCAAGGTCAGCTTCGTGACCCCTACTGAACAGACCAAATGTCCAACAGGAAACCAAACATTGGTCCCTGAATGGAAAGGTTTCCTCAGTCATCAGTTCAAAGACTTAAAAACACATAAAACATGTTGAGTCCTGTCGCTTCACTAAAACTAAACCATTACCTGAAGAGGATATGAGGCCCAGGAACCTCTCCGACCCGTTTCTTCTGGAATTGGGTCGGATGTCGTCTTTAGAATCCAACAAATCAGCTTTGTGGTCGATCTGCTCGTAAAACTATAGGCCATCATTTCCAGTTCAACTCTGACAATAATGTCAAACACAGGACTAGCAGAGGCTAGTGTTAGCTCATGCTAAAAGACAAATCATGTTCATGCCAAACAACAATACAAAGCACACAAGACTGCAGATTTGTGACAAACCATGAGGACGGAGCCTTCCTTCAGTCCAGGTATTGTGGTAAATCCTGTCTGTTCGGTTGGTAGTTTAGAGGAATCCTTCCTAAGCTGATTGGTGCAAACTACAACTTTCTTTGGCAACATCACATTGACCTTGATGGCAAAAATACAATGAAGCTTTGTAGCTCTGTGAACCTTTTCCAGCAGCCATTGTACAGCGGTAGCTTGGAATGAAGTGGGCGGAGCTCCATTTGGGTTGCCAGGTGAGCGACTGGGTTTGGCTTGGGGTTGCTAGCTATGAAATTATGACGCATCAATTTAAAGGTTTTTGAAACAGTTTCAAAAACGACATATGAAACACTTTTCCCAAAAAACTGCTGGGTGTTTTGTTTTATTTTTGCCCTTATATTGTCTCTGGGAACAGGAGATGACCAAATGGAAAGATGGAAACATGCTAAATGTGAACTTTGCATAGTAGGAGACGTTCAATAAAATCAAGAATATAATGGACATCCCTGACCGTCTCTTCATGACTGCTTGGTCTTGGAAAAACAACATCTAACCCTGGCAGTGCAACACAGACGGTTTCAATAAGTGAGAGTTCATAAACAATGAGAATGAAGAGACAAAACGACCAGCAGATTATTAAGGTGGTGATGACTTGTATATAGAAATTCATGGCACATTTTGAAACTTTAGAGAACAGTTAGTTGGACCTCAGTCGAGCGTTATGCTCACAAATGAATTTGTTCTGAAACTCATTCATTGCTTTCTTCCAGCTCTCTGAGGGATTTTTTCCTGGAACCACCAGAGCTTTTGGTTGCGGAATGGTGAAGTTCTCCTTCATCCAGAACCTTTAAAACAGAAACATGAACCTCAGAACATAAAATAAAATCACACAGCAGCTCACTAACATCAGACTGATAACTGGCAGCATCTACATGTTTTGTCTCTATACCAGCAGCAAGGCTTGTGGCATCAGCCAGAGGGTTCAGGTCCCACAGAGAGAGACTGAGGACTGAAGGTCTCCATGCCTGAACTCAATCACCTTCAGCACCACTGACCCAAAGGCACAAGAAACCCAGATGCAGTTTGCTCTTAGCTATATTAGGATGAAGAACGGTTTTGTTTTTCTGAACTTCTTGAGTCTGATCAGACGTCTGAAGCTCATGCTGAAAAGAACACCCTGCCCACTGTGAAGCACGGCAGGGACCCAATGATGCTCTGGGGCCGCTTCCCTTCCTCTGGAAACTTGCAGAGTGTGGAGGTCAAGATGGAGTCAATCAGGATATCCTGGAGAAACTGTCCTGCTGTCTGAGGACGGATGAAGCTTGAGGAAACCCAGTAAGCTTTGACATCATTGGACGTCCAAACAGAACAATGAACCCAAACATATCTCACAGTCCACCAAGGTTTGGTTTAGAAGAAGTCCTGGAGAAGTCAATTTATTTAACTCTTCTACAAGTGTGTCAATATATTATATTTCTACTTCAACATGTATATTTTTAGAGAATAGTTCTTACCCAAGAGTGTCTACATTTCCAGTAATCCAGGTCCAGGTGTGTTAACTTCTTGTAATCCCATCCAGTATCCATGGTATTCATCATGGTAATACTTGATGTTTACTGACAAATTCCTGTGAACAGATTTTTTTTGATTTACTTCAAGTCATCAATTTTACAGAAACTTCCAGATTGGCTCTAAGCTGCTCCATGTGGCGTTAGATTTTACCTGCTCCTGCAGATCATCAATAACAACCAAATCTGCTCCTCTTTCCTTACAGATCGTTCGACTTTGTTCCCAGGTCTTCCAAGGAGCTGGTTTGTCGTAAAACATGTAGCATTTTTTTTGAAGAAAATCCATTCAGCTGTGCAGGGCTTACATACTGGATCCATTAGACAAGAGGAAATATCAGAAAGAAGTGAAA